ATTAAGTACCAATTACTTTATTTTTTATATCGAATTACTCACTTTCGTCATGGTTTCGGTGCTATGATGTTCCTTGACAGCGCTAGCTCTGATAGTATCAACGGCATTTCGTGTTTCTGTACTTGTCCCATAAACGTTACTCAGATACGACAAATTAGGATTCTCGGACTCGCCGATGGTAGTTAAGAGAGCAGGAATTAAAGTGACCAAGGATGGCTTAAGCAAATTTCCTGCTCTCGAAACCAGCTGCGATACTGTTTGTAAGGATAGTGCTCTTACGCTGCTTACGACATTAACGATACCAATGTCTAACAAAACGGGGAGAATTGCTTGCAGTACTTCTTCTCCTTCTTTACCATTAGATGAATCACAATAACGAATGCAGACCTATGTCAATAAAATATAAACCAAATATTCGCTACTTCGGACACAAGTAAATTTCATTTTACATACGAAACTTACTCTAGTCAGTATTTTAGTTGTATTCGTAGCAGCTATCCGAGTACCTTCGTGAATATCGTCCATCACGCGGAATAATTTCTTCAACAATTCCGGCGCGGAATTCGCCAGATTGAAACGTGCGCTTGACCTTAACAAATCTGCAAGCGCATTACAACAACTGATTCGCACTCGCCACTCGTGATTTGTTAAATTATCAGTAATATCATTCAAAATTTCTTTATGATATTGTTCAATCTGTTAAAATACAAGATATAATGAATAATTATCGTTATGAAACGGAGAAAAGTCGTTTGAAAGAATGTCGCTTACGGCTTTGGCCGTTGATGGAACGATCGCATGCCAAATACTGGCCATGCTGTGTTGAATCTTCGGAGTAGGATCGAATTGATACCTGTATAAACGCGGAATTATACTAGGTAAATATTTATTTAATTCATCATTCGCCATTTTCGCGATAGCTGCAAACCCGAATGCAGCACCTTTTTTAGAGTTCCAAACAGCATTATGATTTGCCAGGTGCATGAAATAATAAACTAAGTCTGGCTTCTGCAACTCTGTAGCCAAAGAACAGATCTCCTTATACGTCGACAAGTTGCCGCTACAAATAAAATACTTACATTATTGAAATATAATTAAATATGGGTATACGAATTTGTAAGTGTATTTTACTTTGTAGGAGATTTTCCTAATTGTCCATCTTCAAATAACTTTGTATCGGCTGTGACTTTTGGTACGCCTTTTCGGCCTTGCAAAAATTGATCTAATATGCTAGAAACCAACAGTTCTTTCTCTTCGCGACTGCTATTAAGGTGTATCAAACTAAGTCCTTTCGCTGCTATATCTTGCACTATATCTGCGATTAATAAAAATAAATAACATGTTTCTCCTCTAAAATTGAAAATATCTCAGGTCTTACCACTGTCACTTGAAAGGAATTCCATGAATGCATGGTGCAGTAATGAGAATTTCTGTTTAACACATTCCCGTTGGATATTGTGCTTCAACAGTGCCAGCAACCACACACAGACAGCCTTGTAACAAATATTAGTATTAAAAACAGTGAATGAATTGTAATGGGACAAAGATGTATATGTCCAAGTACCTGTCTCAAATTAGGATGAGGATCTTTGTATATTCGCAGTAATTCATCCAGCGTACGTGTTAACAATTCTGTACTGGCGTCGCTATAAGGTACCGTGTGTTCACTTGGCAGTGTCATCCAAGCATCTCGTTTCTCTGGAGATGCTTCGCCTTGAACGCAGCACACCAACACTTCGCCCATAATCATATGCATTTCAATATCTTTCGTCTAGAATTAAATTTAATTACGTAACAGTAAAAGTTTATTTATAGTATATTTCAATTATACACTTGCCTCTTTCACGTTTTCAAGAATTTTATTCACTATGTACGACGTATGAGGAAAATTTTCTCCCACGCACAAGTGCCCTAAGGAGAGTGCAGCTTTTTCCTTAATCTACAAATATTACAAATGAATTAATTTCAAACTTCTTCACAAATATCTCATCATCCAATAAGAGATATATACCTCGGTACTCGATTTTGTGCTACCCACTTTCGAAAACAACATTTCCACAATTGCCTTTTTATTCAATTCTCCTTCGCCCTCGTCAGGCAGCGGTAGACTACAAGTTTTACCTAAGATACCAACGCTTTGAATCGCAGCATCCATTAATAAAATCGTGTTATTCGAAAGAAAACTGCCTACATAAATATTTCCAAAGTAGAATCCAAAATAGACAAATGATATGTATAAAGAAATTTAAATTATATACGCACAAAGCGTTTTCACAACGTTGATGTATAGATCCCAATTGAATATATCATTGTCCATGTCGTTCCTTTTAAAAATCAATCTTCTTTCCATCATATGAGTCAAAGCTAGCAGCGATCCATGCTGTGATTCTAAATGCTTTTTATCTACCATGCTACTGATCTCAGAAATTCGTGATTCGAAGTCGTTGTAAGCTGCTTGAGCAGTTACCATACCATAAATTTTGGCAACCACTCGTCTTACATCCAACTTAACCGATATGAGCAAATTACGAAGCCAAGATAATTCGTTCTCATAAAGTTTCGTTGCGAACTGTGGCACAGAACCAGCCACTTCCAATAAAGCTTGTAACGAAGTCTCATCTGTATTTAGTAACACATTAAAATTTATAACACAGTTTTCTATTTCTCTATTCTATCTACCTATATATACACAATATCTATATACGCAATACAATTTTCTAATACAGTTTCATAAGTAAGTAATTAAAAGTATTACCTGGAGATGTATGACTGAAATTTAAAATCATATCAAAATAATTATTCAATGTTTCTAATTCTTGTTCATGCAGGTTTCTTAAATAACGTGCAATTAATGGTGTACTTTCGCAGGGATGCTGTAAAGGCCCATTAGTTATGGTAACATTAGCACTTTTTGCTAGACAAATACGAAGATAAGTAATCATCTACAAAAAGAAGAATCATTATTACTTTCCCATTATGAAAAAAATTTCGTCGTTAATTAATTACCTCTGTAATGACTGTAACATTGTAGGGAAGAACTTTATTTTGTTCACTAACTTTATCATTTTTAGCAATTAACACATCTCTTGACTGCATTTTTGAATGAATGTAACTAACAAGCTTCTTAAAATCTGGTAGGGGAATTTTATTATCCTCCGATTTATCACTTTCATCCTTCTGTATAGCTGCGTATAAAACTTTAGTAGCTTCGGCTCTTATCTCCTGTTTTTCATCCCCAGAAGCTAACAATAAAAGATAACGAGACGGTACGTCGTCGGGTGGAAATACATTAGCAACGTAATGCATAGCTACGAATCTGCAGTCAAACAACGATTCAATAATACAAGAATAAGTTATTACATTCGTTAAATAAAATGTACATGCCTGCCGTTAGACTCCGGCTTTTCGATGTACGTAGATAAGAATCCGTTCATCAACGATATATTACGTTCGTCATTTTTATCAAGTACGAACGCGGGTGTAATTGAAATTAATGTATCTCGCACCGTTCTTCGTAAATCACCGTCCGTCTTGAACAACACGAAAAGATCAGCTCCGAATACAAATATTTTAATAACATTAGAATACACTCTAGTACTTACCAAATAAAGTGCAGAAAACAAATGAGACAATAAATTGAAATTTTTATCTATCACCGATGGGATTCTCTGTCTCAGTTGTCCAATAATAGTGTATGCCATCATTTTATACGCATCTTCACCTTTGTACACTAATTTTAACATACCGTCTAGGATAATACCTGCTACGCGAGACAGAGGTGCAACGCTACTCCTTGATTAAAAAGATTATGATCAATTATACAAGTAACGTAAAGTAAAAAACCTATCAATAATTTTTGTACTGACTGTTGCACAATATTCGATGTGAATTGCAATGCCAATGATTTCAACTTTGGATTCGTAGTTTTGGCATCTCCTTCCAAAGTATGAAAAACGACCTGCAAGTCAATTACAGTTAATTACCACATAGCATAAATATAAATTAATGAAACGTACCTGAATGCACAGAGGTACAATAAAGCCAGCTTTAGTAACGCGGCAAAGATAATGCAATAATTTCAGGCGAATTCGTATACACGCAGGTAATCGTTTCATTTCTGGCTTAACTTCTTTCTGAACACCTAATGCTTCTGTCCCCAAATACAATGTATAAAGTGGTGCTGCCAGTTGCATCGAAGACCAGTCTAATGTACTGAAGAGTTACAGATAATTAATTTAGGTATTCAACGCAGAATAAAACTAATAATAAGATATTCGAACAAGCGTACTCGACAATCTTTTTCAATTCCATATCCGCCAGATTAGCTACACTGAATCTAGTATCGGCAGCTGCTACTATCAGATGTATGAGAATATCTGAATTAGGAAAGAATCCTCCAGCCAGAAACTTTACGATACCCAACTTCGTTTGTTCAAGTTGTTCCGCTGATTGCGGATTTTCGCCGATCACTCGTTTGAACGCGTATTCGCTCATTCCCATCGGTACACGAAACTGCGTGGTGTCTACAGCAGCAGACTGATCCGACTGTTCATTATTCTGCATTTGTCCTGCAGACCTAAAAATTAATTGTTGAAATTAGTATGTACATGTAGCTCGTAATGAGCTCCTTTTCTTCTGCTGGATTGATAAAAGCATACCCGTAAGGAAGTAATAAAACGTCCAGCATGAAACTAAGTAATTGCTTTGACACATAAGGTTTGTCTTGTAGACCGAGGAAGGATGCTCGTTTTTCTGGATCCATTGAGATGTTGATATGACCCAGTGCAGGCATAATCATAAGTAATAAACTGGAACAATAATCTGCATTCATATATCAATTTCAATCATAAATGGATCGCGTGCCCATGATATGAAGTATTTACAGACCCATCCTGATGAGACAATGGTTTCCCTTCAACGGCATTTAATACACTTAGAACTAGTTCTGCTTGCTTCTTCATCTCCATTCTAGGATACCCCAATTTGATATAAATGATTGTAAAATTCTATGAACAGATAAGAATATAAATTTGAAGACAGGATACTTTAGATCGATTACTCGTAATTAGTACAACATACAATTACAAATGAACTGGCAGTTGGATCTTGATACTGTAACAAAAGCGTTTCCACTGGTAATTGTACTTGAGGTCTGCTTTTTATTCTTTTGTTTATATGAATTAACAGTTCCATCACTTTCTTCCTTACACCTTCCTGTGTACTGGACAATTTTAACAGGACTGGAGGCAAGAATTTGCATACTGCTGCTTGCAGTTGTTCATCTGTCTCGGCAGTTCCCAAACGGAAAAATACTCTTTCGAGGAGAACTTGAAATAGACGAATGAATAATTATGTGTACGAAATATTTCTTTATTATAAAATATACGTATTTTAACTACTAGATAGTCAAGCTTTCTGCATTTAAATGGAATTTGCTTTGCATTTCGTACTGTTAGTTCAATGAATGGTGACGCACATTAAAAATTTAGTAAGATTACGTAAGACATATAAAAACTCATTTCCTTGTGCAGGATTCTTTATTAAAAATTGTGAAAATAGAAACGACAATAATTAGTACATTTGAAATTCTTTTTAACATGACGGCATGGCAATTGACTACGATCAAATGAAAGTTACGGTTACTCCTAAAATCCTGTTAATGTTAAAAATAATGCTTTTATTAAGAGAAGAATAGCGTGATCAATAATACAATTCATGTCACTGCCGAAATGAATTGTTCTCAGGAAAAATGTAATGATTATTTAGGCTCACTTACTCAGCTCATCCGTAGGGGCTGCCATTTTGAACTGAAATAGTATGCAAATGAGAAAGTGAATGATAATAATTGTCTAATTGTCACAGGCAAGGAATACTGTAAAACAATTTTTAATATCAATCATCATAAGTTCACGTGGAAATTCACCATCCTATTTCGCTCAATTCTTTCAAATATATTTCTCACAATCACCTAGGAGAGATTATTATAAAGAGTGGCGGTCTTATATGGGACTTCATGACGTACGAAAAAGTCGGCAACTTTTGACGCCCTCTAGAATATATTGGCACCGAAGCAAGAAACAGAAAGTAAAACACTCGTCGGTGCTGAACTGACCGTATAATTTTACATGTTACCGACGAATTATCGTTATTTGTTCAAGGATCACGAAATAAAAATGCTAAGATTTGATTCTGTTCATTTATTAATGAATATTACATCAGATACTTTCCTTATCTCAACATTTATTAGCGCATACATTAAATTATTGAAATACAGTTTAACATACAATTTAGGATACAAAGATTCTCATTGTATTTTGTAGTTCTTCACTTACTTAGTATGTACCGTTTCTAAATATTGGAAATGTTAAGAACATGCTTTACAATATTTTACAATTTAAGATACAAAGATTCTTATTCTAATATATTGTAATTCTTCACTTGATACCGTTTCCAAAGATCGAACTTTGGAATAGAAGTGTGGAAACTTTACCAACCCAGGCCTCATCACGTGGAAGTGACGAAGTGACTACGTTCGAAACCCGAGCAGTGAACAATACTCATTGCCCTCACTCTATCATTTAATTCAGATTCCGATTTTAATTTGAATTCTCATTATGATTACAGTTTCGATTTCGACTTTTATTATTAGTAGAATATCTGGTAGTCATATTATAATATAATGACTATAGTCGACTCAAATGAATTTATAAAATTGTCAATCACTCGAATTAATCATGTTCGAACTTCCAACACATAATGATTATCTTTATTGTGTCCGATTAAAACCCTGAAATCAATAGAATTGAACAATAAAAGAAATGCGTCAGAAATTCTGATAAGAAGCATAATTTTGGTATATTAATCAGTTTACGATTCGAATCAATTCTTCGATTGAGAAACAGGTGTCATACTCGGTTCTTTCAGGAATTTGGATTATCTTCTTTATCCATTCGCTAAAGGGCGAATGAGACATGCAATAACCAGCGATTTCCATCGGTGAAAGTGGCAACCGGGCGAAAGGTGAAAGTCGTGGCACTACGCGACGTAAAGAAGCTTCGGATAAACTGCATGTACCTCGCTCGCTAATGCATGTATTAAACGTACATATATGCTAACATACCAATGGTATTCGCATATATCAACGATTACGATAGTTTCGAAACGATAATATGCAATAGTTTGATTGTCATCAGTAGATTATCAAACGTTAAATTAACACCAATACCACCATACATACGAAAATTGCATTAATTAAAAAAATGTAATCGAAATTGAAATTCCTTTTATTTTTCTAATACAATTATATGCTTCTAATAAACCTGATTTAAAGCTTGCTGAAATTATACAAAAATATTCGATAAACCAAATGTATGACCTATCTAAAAACAATTCTATTAGACTTTGAACATTGCAAAAGTGATGAATAATATTTTCATCGACAAAGGTCATTATACGTTTCATACGTAATGGAAGAACATAAATTTCATTCAATTAAATCGCGATTGAACCTGCCGATCACGATAATTTTGCTGAACGATCACGCTAAGAACAGGAAGTGATGATAATGAGTATCAAAGGAATGAGTATAAAAATTCTAATACCTTTTTACTTAAACAATAATTATAGTTGAGTTATACGACAGACGAGCCGATTTTCTAAGCTAATAATTGCACCGTGGATATTGCCGTGAAGAAATTGTTACGTTAATTCCAATTGTTAAACGTTAATTCGACGTGGACAAAAGTCAAAAAGACCGTGGGTCGCGCACGATATGTACTTACAAATAAGCAAACAGGACATTGGCTAAAGGATCTTGAAGGAAACCAAAGGTTAAACATGCAAGTCGTATGAGTAAAACTATATTTACTGAATTAAAGAATATGCAATGAGTTTCTTGGGAAGTCTGACGACATCTGAGAGCAGACAATAAAAACCAGGTAGCATGGCTCCAAGTACATTGTAATTACTTGGCTACAAAAAAGTAAACGTTAAAATAATCAACATTACTCGCAGTTACTTCTCATCGATAGACCGATGTATTCATGTAAAAGTCGCGTCGAAAATTGAAACACGTGAAGAGAATAAAAAATGTTTTTAATAAATGATAAGCCCTATCAATTAAAACATAAGAATTCACAGTTTACCAGTGGACTCTGTTTTCCCTGAAACAAATCCCAAGTTATTATCAATTGATTAAACAGGTGCATCGTCTTGAAATAATAGGTACTTGACGGTACGTATTATTAAGCGTTAATCTACGAAGTGTCATCGCGTTACGAAAGATACCTTCATAATGAGTCGCAAATACATACATGTATGTAAGTAAGTCAAACGTATACGTACTTGCTGACAATATGCAATGACCAAAATAGAGAAAATTAGAAGCAATGGAAATTGTGTCGTAAATAATTCGTCTGCGATTTCAAAATAATAGACTGGCTATCAGATAAGAATAATATGAGAACACTTGTCAATTCATTTCTTTCCAAATTTTATCTGCAAAAAGGAACACGGCAGGTGTACAAAGATATAAATAAATATGAAAACATTCTGGGAAGTCCAAACATGTTTTGTTTCTCGTTAGACCGAAGTGAAAACTTGCTAATTCCCGTTAAACATTTTCGACAAAAGTCTCATTCCATGTTTTCGCGTTTACAGTATTTTTACAGACTTATGTTTACCAAAGAATTAAAATATTTCCATAGATAAATTCATGACGAGAAAGGATTAAAAAAGAAGCTATAATTGACATAATAAGCAATTAGCATCGAAACTAGATAATCAGAATTCATGGAAACCGGTAATAGCCTAACGTAAGCCAAATGAAAGTAATTCAAAAGAACCTTGAACCCTTGCTGTGAAAGTATCGTTGTCACTGGCCCGAGTTATCCACTCTCTCGGCTAATTTCTGAACGGTTTTGTTCCTATTACATAATACCTTGGCATCGTTCGAAAAGGAAATTCTCCGAGGACGATGAACGATGTTACCCCGGTGAATTACAACAATACTTTCAGATTTCTTACGATACCTCTTTAAACCATTGTTACTTTGTTACCCATAAAACAGAAGAAGGCAGCATCTCTCTCTCTCAAGAGAGACGAACTATGACGCAATCATCTCGTGACCGTGCAAACCAGGTAAAAATCACTTTCGCCGAGATCGGAATACCTGCCTATATCGTGACTTGCATAAGAACTCGTAAGGCTGTTACACAGCATTACGCTTTCTGCTCTTTCTCAGCTGGCCAGAATCATTCTGATTCCGGTCCGCTTTGCTCTTTCCCTTAACGTAAAAGCTCGTCCTCTTACATACACGAAAATTTAGAAGTAGAAATCTTCCCGCGATTATTATAGAGAGAACGAGTTTGACCCACATACACAGTCAAAGGAGATAAAATTGTTTGAAGCGTTGCCTCTCATTATTTTATCCCGATTCTCTGCACCACGAGAAAATCCTACGACGTTTTAAAAGTGTTCCTGCCGCGCGCGATTTTTAACATGCAATTGATAGGCCTTATTTTGAAATTTATTTGCAAGGAAACACGCGGCATAAAAATGAGGTAATCCGAGCCGAAGGTACTTTGAAACCGTAGTTAAGAGTCTTAAATTCAGACGATGAAAGAAGATAACGAGACATGATTTAAAATAGAGCAAAGCTTAATTCTAGAAAGGAGAGATATTAAAAAATGCTAAGTGGTCAAGTTTAGATTATGCTTTGAACCGAATGGATAGATTCGAAGTGGGTTAATCTGCGCAAATATGGGCTGTAACGAGCAATTGGCCACTTTCCCGGCCTTGCAATGGCGTAATTCATATCGGAGAACTATCCGATTATAAAACGATGCAATAAATATTAATTCGCCGTCTTAGGATGAGAACGCGTTTTTTATTGGTAAATTAACTCGGACACCGTCCTGTCAATTATTCCACATGTCAACTTCTTTATACGGTATGTCAAAATAATGACGTTAACGTGTGAAACGTAATGGAAAGGTAAGGGAATATTTAATATTAAATAAGATTGATTTAAGTCTTGCAACAGTTCACTCTTTCAATTTAGATTGTTTGTTGTAACATATTGCTCATTATTTGATATTACCATTTTGTTTCTCATTACGATGTTAAACAGTGTCGAAGTGCAATGAAATTAAGTATGCATGAAACGCACGCACGTGTATTGTAATTTTCCGATTTAGCCGGAATGCTAAAAAAGAGATTACAAAGACCTGACTATGGAAAACGTCAAGACACGAGAAGTAAATGCAAATGAATTCATAACTGATAGCGAGTACGTTTGCAAACAATCTGTTAATTCCATTGGAATTCCTGAAAAATACACACTGTCCGATGATAAACGGATTTCAATTTCTTATGAGTCCTGAGAATAATACGTCCGGCAATGTTTGAGATCTGCTTGGAGTTCCTGCGTCATAATTTAATATTTAAACTAGCTTTAAGTGTGCTGTTAAAAAAAATCAACGAAATACGCAGTAATTATTCAGTAAAAATATTAATTAAAAACCATAAACAGCCTGAAGATGCGGAAAGTGTTACCGCTGCTGCGTCTTCGCGTGAAAAAATAATTGTTGAACTCTTTGAAATTGAAATTTGTCTTAACTACTTACGGATATAAAAGACGAGAAACTTAATCACTTGTTACAATCGATTTGTCAACTGAAGATTAGAAAAGAAATATGTAAATGCAAAGATTCGATACTTGAGAACCATCGGTCGGGAATCGACGGAATAGACGCGAGATGGCGAGCATGTAGCATTTAGTTTTCGTAATCGGCACGGCACGGCGGTCCTCGCTTCCCCATCGTTTTCGTCGCGTCCGCGTTGTCCTCGTCGTCGTCCCTCGTCGTCGTCGTCCTCATCTTTGTCGCGATCGTTTTTTTCCTTTTCCCGTTTAATTAAGACGCGGTCGATTCGGTTTTACTCCGTGATCGCAGAGAACGGAGCGCAACGTGCCGGCAAACAGAGAGCCAGTGGTGTTATCGTACATGGATGAGATTTGGCAAGGGCGAGGTGGAGGATCATCCGTATGCGAGCACGCAGCCGAGTGACAGGTTACGAACAATTATTTCGTCGCGAACGGTCGCTATCGGGGTGAAAGAAAGAGGAAACGGAAGAAAGAGCGGAATCAAGCGGTGGAAGGAAGGAGGAAAGTAGGGAGAGGCAGTAGCAGTAACACGTACGATGAAGCATCGTGGACAGGAGTAGGGTGAGAGCACGGAAAGGCGAGCAGCAGGCGAGGCGAATAGGCGGCACAAGTAGCATAAACGGAAAACGGCCGCCGGTCAGGGAGTGTTGGAGGTTAGAGAGAAGAAACCGGGGTACTGTCCATCAGTCTGTCAGTCGAGCGCGACCGCGTGCATACGAAAACTGTCGTCGAGATTCAACGCGACTCCCTCTTTTATTTCCCTCGCACTTCTTCAACCTTTTATCTTCCCTCTGTCTCTTCCCCTTTCCTGTTTCGCATCGTTTTTTATTAAACGCCTCCCTCTTGTCTTTGTGATACGCGCTCGCGACGGAGAGGAGGAAGAAGACACGTCGATGAAGGAAACCGGCGACCAGCAGTCATCAGTCTTATTCGCGTTCGCTTGCTTCTTCTAACAGCACGGAGGAGCAAACCAAGCCGGACTGTTGTTCGCGAAACACGCGACTCGAGATTCGAAGTTCGTCGAAAGTAAAGAATCGAAGAGGCTTCCTATTTTTTCCCGCTACTGCGAACGAGCAACGTGCTTGTTTTATGTATCATCGATCAGGTGACAAGAAGAAAATAAGACGGTGTGAGAATTCGAAGTTGGTGAAGCCGGGTAATCACAGTGCCGCGACGCCGATAAGACGGAAGGACAGGTCGGCCGAGAGGAAATAAAGAAAACATCGAAGACGAGTAGCAGGTGGGTGTAGTCCTTTGACACGTTCCTTTTTCGTGAATTTTGCCTGCGTCCTGGTTTGTTCGAGGCGTGCCGGCTTTTGAGGTTAGGACGGTTCCGTGATCGATTCCGAGGTTCGTGAAAACGGAGCGTGATTCCTGAAAATTCTCCTCTTTTCCCGCCCGTATCTCATGATTATTGATCGACGGGAAAAGCATCGGGTGTTTCGTTCATTATCGCGATCTCGTTACATTTCCCGGCGAAACGAAACACTTGGCGGCCACGATCTTAATCTTCAATTATCGCCTTAAATTCACGTTAATACCTCGATCGGTAATACTTTCGCAAAGATAACGAAATACACGATTCGAGGAACATAATCTGCAATTATCGATGAATCACGTAATACTTATATATGATTTGACTCGATCATCTCTTTTTTAACTGCTAAACATTTTATAAACAGAGACCAACGAATATAGTTAGTCTCGGCTTGGAGACGCAACGTTGAAAACGAATTCTAAGCACACGCGTTGTCAATTGTGTCAACCAGTCATATTGCAGGTTCGAATGAATCACGGATTGCAAATCTATTGCACTGGGTCACGATGAAGAAAATAAATTAAGAAAACTCGTCGAGACCCATGATTCATCGTCTATGTTTATGTCTCGATAAGCGCAAGATTTTGGACATTATATTCTCGGTTCGCAGATGCGATGAATCGCATGCAAAATCGGCGTTATGAAACACTTTTTGGCGATTCTCCGATAAGCTGAAATTGTACGCGCATCGGCATGATTCCCCGTTACATCCGGTAAACGATTGCGAGAAAATTATTAATTCTTTCGCACGTAGCGATACGTGTCACGTTTGAAAATGATAATACTCGAAGCGTTAGGTTCATTTCCGGTACAAGTGGCTCTCGTTGTTTGCGAACAGGTCACCGTTCCGAGCGAGAAACGCTTTCTCTCTTAGTTCGTATACGTAACTACGTTCGACGCTTTGCCAAAATAACATCTTCGATCGCGCGTATCAGTGATAAGCACAAGATACAAACGCGTAAAGCGCAAGTTTATTCTGTTCCATCTTTTATTCAAATACGTAAATGTGTCGTTTGACGCGAAGATCGGAGTATCGGGTACAGGTGCGCTCCCATGTCTGGATGCCAGAATAAAACCACGCTTATTCTTTCCAATTTCATTGCTATGACGTGCATCGATCGTATTATCTGAGAATGCAAATCCTGTCTGATATCAACACGTGTACTTTTCTTTTTCTTTTCTACTGCTTCTCATTAAAAGATAATCGTATCTTAGCAGAATTGTTATCAGCTGCGAGCAGCAGCAAATCGTATAAACCGTCTGTAAGAGCGTCCGATCGAAAGAGCAGCTTGGCGAGGTAAATAAAAGTTTCGGCTTTTCTCCTTCCTCTTTTTCCCGGATTCTGCACTCTTGAAAGGAGTATTCCGTTAATCCTCTGCGGCAAATTGGCGAATCGCGTCCTCCTTAAACTAGAAATCGTATCGATGAAACGCTCGAAAGACCGTCTTAAGTGTATTCGACGAAATACGGTCGAAATGTCCCGGTAATTAACTTCCATAAAAAATACTGAATGATAAGAAGTTTGAACTACAGGAGGAATGCATGTGAATTTTATTAATTCTGGTTTTGGTAAGAAAAGCGTTCTGATATTCGAATAATGCATAAGATAAAGGAAGTAGTACCTGGACACTTTTGAACATAAGTTTTTTATAATATTTTTTACTAAGTATGAAACCGACGTGTATCTGTTTGTTGAGTACTTGAAACGTACATTTCGTCCATTACTGTTGCAACAACGAGCTCTAAAGAATCGATAGAGTCGTGCGAAATGCCATTTGACATTCGGTACTCCGCGACGTGCTTAAGGCAAACGCGATTCTACCATCGATTACGCTATTCTATAATATACTATGCACAAAATTGATTCCACGTTCATGTTATCGTTTAACGACGCACGACCATCTCGGTCAGGCACGTTAACAGAAACGCGTAGGAAAGCATCGGCGAGTAAATACAATTGTATACCGTTTAAGCAACTCCTGGTTCGTTGTGTCGGCATTACTTTCTCCGTCCTCGACGGATGCTACGTAATAGCTGCGCGTCATCGTCAAATTGAATAATTTCACGTGATCATCTTTATTCTTTCGCGTCGCAGACGTGAAACTAGCGCCCCGGCGACAGAAATTACATTTTTATCGGCATCCTGTATTCCGGACGGAGCTCTGCATCTTCGTCGACCTACTTACGGAGCTAGTTTCTTAGGAATAACCGATGCCCGGGAAGAATAGGTCGACCACATTATTTTTTAATAAGAATAAACGATGTTCGAAGAGATCTCACGCTTGTCAGAAATGAAAATCGAAGTACTGCGTTTCGACATTCAGTCTCGACTTTAAGATAGCTCTCTTATGAAAATTGAATTCGATTTGTTACGTTATCTCGATAATCGCCTAACTGATGATTCATGCGAATACGTAATACCCGGTTATCACCATTTCCTCATCTCCCGTTCTTATCTATAAGGGAACCAAGATTATGATGACAAGCCCGCAGAATGTGTCCCGTACCCTCCGTTTTATACGTCTCGGAACACCTTTCATATCAAATCTTAATGTCAAGTATTATATACAATGTCTATAAAAATACAATTTTATTGAAACTATTGATTATGTATTATTTGATTTCCCATATGATTTAATATCAAGTTTCAGTTGGAATATTTGTCAGATATTTTGGTGGACGATAGATACTTGATGTCTTAAGAATCGCGACCAGGGGAGTACGTAATACGCATTTCACTAAAGTTGGTATGAATCACGAGGAAACGCTCGAGCGAGGGTCGTACGAACGTAAAGAAATCAATAGCGAAAATGACGCGAGCTTGGTCACGACATGTGCTATTGTAAATTATATACGCAATGTGAGAAACTCGCCGCGTGCCTCGGGGGGCTGCCCGATGCAAGTTTGAACGACGCGACCGCACCTGGCCGGGGTTGAACGCTCTTTCGATCGCGATAATCTTCCCAGAATCGTAACCGCGCGACGTGTTTAATACTGAAACGATCAGCTGCCGATTTTAATATTACCCATTTTCTATATAACTGACACTAGAAGTCTTGCCATTTTGCGTTAAGGATGTATTGGCTATACAGTCAATCCCAAAAGTTTATGTACCTTAGAAAAACGCGTTTCCTATAATTAAAAAGAAATCAGACGTCGGAAGAACAATGCTAATAATAAATAGCTACGTGCTAAAAAGGATAGAAGGAAATATCCAATTAATTATTGACGCTGGCGAAAAATTTTTTATACAGAAGTTGTAGGCGCTAATAGCCCCTACAAAGAAAGATTCAATGCATTTTTCTTCTAATTTCGATATTTAACGAGTTACGTATGATTATTTGGCATTTTATTGATGTTGACAAAATCCGACCATCCCACCGCCGAAACGGCGAACTTTTGGGAAAAGATTTCGTTTTTCCTAAATAACTCCTAAACCGTTGGACCTACGAGAAAATTGCATCAGACTTTTCTTGTAGAGGGCGGCGAGATCTACAATTTCCATATAAGAGTATTTCGCTAGCTTGAATACTTTACGAGTAATTTGCAAAAAACTGTTTGTTCGTTTTTCGTCAATAACTCGTAAACTATTGACGCTAGCGAAAAACTTTTATATGGAAATTGGAGATCTCGTCGTCCTCTACAAGAAAGGTTGTATGCAATTTTTTCGTAGGACCAACGGTTTGGGAGTTATTGGCCAAAAACGAAAATTTGGAAGAAATTGAAGGGGTGCCCCTTGGAAAAATCTCGGAAAAATCGAAAATTTTTTTTGTTGTTTATTATTAGCATTGTTCTTCCGACGTCTGATTTCTTTTTAAAAAATGCGTTTCTAAAGTGCATAAAATTTAGGGATTGACTGTACAGCCAATACATCCTTAAGGTAATCTCTTTCAAAATTTTCTCATAAAATTTTGCTACTATGTTTTATTATTGCTAATAATGTGGGGCGAAATAAGATAATTTTTAGAAGAAGTAATAATTTATTTCACTTGGTAATTGCACAAATCTTTTCTTGCAATTGAAATGTTCGTGAAATGAAAGATTCGTGCATTCTCGCAAACGTCGGTCACGATTGTAATTAGAACGTGAATCGTGACGACTTTATTGGTCGCTAAGGTATTTAATACTTTAATAGCTTGAACTGCTATATACGTTAGATTAATATCGATGAGTCAGAACAATGCCGCGTAACCTAAATAGCGCATCCCAGGTGCCCTTTAGAAATTACCTATATTCCTGCTTTCTCCCTCCCTCTTTCTCTCTCTATCGTCGATCGGGCGCGATTGTTTCTCAGCTTGGAGTTATTTACTTGATGAGCAAGCAACATATCGATGCATCTTTTCGCTGTTAATTAAAAGTAGAAAATGGTAACCTGCCAGGCCACTCGCCTGCTCCAGTTATAAAATAATTAAAAATACTTTTCGTACGACAGGTTGTTATAAAAATGAGAATAACTAGTTTAATGAATGAATACGTGCGGCGATACAAAAAATTATTGGCGAGAATTGTCCGAGTCGAGCTAGGGTGTCTTAATATATTCGTAGAATCGTTTGTGAGAGAATTTCATGGCCAAGTCGGAAGGCTATTTTCATCTAAAAATTTTCTTTCTCGGAACGGCCATCGAGAAATTCCACCGGTTTCATCGGAGCAATTTAGTTCAAACAATTGTTGCAATACTCCAACTGTTTGCAGTTTTCGCTGTTTGTTTAATATCACATAGATTGTAGGTTCAGCGACAACCTATATTTTTTTATTAGTCAATCGAGATTTTTTATCCCGATTACCGAATCGAGATTGTGTTAGATTTATAAGCGGCTAGTAACGAAATTTGATTACGTCTAGCGTGTAATTGATTGGCGAATTATAATATACGGGGAAAGTCGAAGCGTAGAAGAATTTCAGCTCTTCCGGCGGGTTCTCAATTCTGTTTAGAAAGTATTTTATTAGCAACGTTGCGTTCTTCTTCGGGGAAACGGGGAATCGTCGTCGAATTGTTGCGAAATACCCGGACCTCAACTGTCCAGATCAGAATAATGTTCGTTAGCTCGTCTATCTAATTGATTAAATCTCAGTCGATTGTTCTGTCAACGCTCGATAATCAATAATAGTAATTAATTTCATCGTAACATGATTTCAAACTGGATTTATTAATATACAGATGTCTATACATAGGAGAAATGATAAATGCTGCGTGTAACCTGCGAAATGTGGCCTCGCTCTTTACCGATTACGTGACCTACATTTTGATCCATAGTTCTCGATTCGGGTGTTAGCTATCTGGTGTAATTGATCTCGATGGACGACGTAACCACACGTTCAGTAACTTTCTACTACTCTACGTCCCCGTATTTCTGTCTGCCCCCCCTCTACGTATACCTCTCTCCTGTGTTTCCTCCCGAGGTTCGAGAGTTCTTTCATCTTTTTTGGAATGCCTACAAATCTTATAGGTCTTATGTAATGCGTCTTGTAACTCGGAGGAAGAACGAAAGAGAAATTTGTGTACGACTTAATAATCGAATCTCAATTGAGATTTCTGGGATGTCTTAGTAGAGAAAACCCGACAAGATTCAAAATTAGTATCAGCGACCGTTTCAAATAACACGTTCCAGTAAACCACATAACAATTAATGAAATAACACATCAGAGAATAAATCATGGACGGTTTTATTATTCAATCGAGTGGAAATCGAAATTCAATCGAAAGGAATAGAAATAGTGTATGTACAGCTTATAACGATGAATCCAAGCCAGTTCGGGCTTGTGTTAATTTTCCCTATGGGGACAAAATTCAAAACGATTAATAATTCTACGTCTTGTTTTTCAATGCTTGTCTGGCATCGATGTTGACAGATTTTGATATTAAAACAATTAATGTAGGTGGTGGTAATGTGCGTAGATTAAAATTGTTTTCATTTTGAAACGTAAAAATCATGTAAAAATGTAGCAGCATCGATGCCAGATCGAGTATTGAAAAAAGAAGACGTAGACTTCTTACTCGTTTTTAATTAGAGGAAATTAAGTAACACAAACCCGAGATTCATTGTTACTAGATACACATACATAAACAATTTTTATCCTCCCATTTATATTAATACTATTGCAATCTTGCATTCTGTTAATACGTTTTGCAATATGTCCTACGACATGAATAGGATGGAAATCGAAGTTCTTGAGTTTCTTTCACCATTTCTCGTTGTTTTGTCTGTTTACATCGTATAGCGTCTTGTGTTATTGAGAACTGTTCGATAACTGAATATTGAAGCTCGTTTCGTCGTTATTTGTGTGCTCCCGGTTAATTTGATACAATCCGAATCGAAAGACATCATAAACCTTTTTTACATTTGTCTATCCTGCTCCTTTTTTCCAATCCATCGTATTAGAATCTCGATTGGTCGATATCGTTCCTCAGAATTTATTACAAAGTAATATGTTAGGAAACGTCATGGAATACTTCAGGTGAGAGTGGAAAAAACTATTGTTGACGTCAAGCTCGTGTGAAATTATGCAAATGAATATAGTGTACACACGACGTGTTAGATTGTAAAAATCCGATGGGGCAAAGTATCATACTTAACTGCATTATTGACTAATTATGAATGGCATGATGCAACATTTTCTCAGTACATTGTACGTTGGACCCTGTTTATATTAGATTGCAATATTTGACTTGAGCATATTCAATCGGAGTGCTATCAATCGTAATGCTCATTCTTGCAACAGAAAATAAAATTTAATCACAGAAATACTATTTTTAGTGTTCAAGTGATAATAGACGATTTATTGAGTTGTGCGCAGTATCGATCGCCACATCGCCGTTTTATTATTGTTCAGAATCCGTGTAAACAGTACAACGACACGCTCCGTAACAAGTCTACGGAGTAAAAGAGGTCTGGACGAAGTCGATAACTCCACAGAGGAAAGAGAACGACCAGATACTCTCCTCCATTCTTTTATATTTAGCTTAGCAACATTTCTGTTATCAGACCACATAGTTTTTAGTCGTGTACCGAGATTCGCACGTTCACATGCTCTTTTCCGAATTTCAGAAATCCTTTTATCGGTCGCACGTGACGCCGCGATTAGTCGGCTACACGCCTCTTCCCGATAAAACATTTATCCGATAACCACCATTCGCTCCCATTATTTACCTGTCGCTGCTTCCTCCGTTTCCAATTAACCCGTTATTATTTCATCGACAAAAAGAAAAATCTAATTCCCGAGTATTCTTTCGCCGTTTTATTTCCAGCAAAAAGTAGGCTACTTCATTGATTACACTCGTTTAAATCGGTATCAATGTCTCGTGCAGAATTCCAGCTCTACTTCCATTACATTTATCGCATCCTGTTAAAACAATTTCTGATTCTAACTTAAAATCATTTATTATTAGATCGCATTTATAGCAAAATATAAAATGCATAAAACATAAAAAATAGATGTGATCTATTAAAGTATCACGTCGCTCGAACGATATAAGAAAACCTTAATCAATTTTTTTCGACGGAAGTTTTATATTAGAAATCGCCAGTCTCTTCGTTCTGCTCATTTTTATCAAGCTTGAACCAGCAGTAAATTATTCTGTCCAAGCAATTTTTAACTTGAAAAGTTGCAACTGGCGAAAAATTCGCAGACGTACGTATGTACTTACACGCGCGGTCGATCGAGGATCGTTGCGGAGGCCATGCGCGTAATTCGGTGACCCGATTCCGACGTGCAGAGCAGTCGATAATCGAATATGCATTAATTCGGATAGGATGGCTTAACGCCATGGCTTAATTCACCTTTGCGTATTTAATCGATTCGCACAGTCACCGTGTTACAATTTTTGTTTCCATCCGGTGCTTAGAAAACGAAATTAATCGCACGGCCCGATCGATCGTTTACGTTTGTCATGATTAACACATTGTTGAATGGTCAGTTAATTTGTCTCATTTCCATGATACACCATGAGCCATAAATATGTTAGAATAAAAGTTTATACAATATTTAATATAGTGTTTCATATAATCAATTATTGGAATAATTAATAACGCTTTTCTTGTAATCATTGTTACGATAGTTGGTATGGTTAAAACGAACAGGGATGGACGATGTTTGACGAATTCCGATGATTCAGCGTAACGAGACTTTCTCGAAAAAGGCGAAAATTTGCAGCGGAAAGATCTATGCATTTAAATGGCAAACCTGGTCTTTTATACTTCCGCGAAAACCACTTCAAGACGTGTGAAAACGTCTTACGTTTATCCAAGAGATATTCACTCGTTTGACTTAAAAATATCAATGATCATTAAATTCGAATTTTTTCTTATTCCAGACTCAAGCCAAGATGACGACTCTAGTAGCGGATCTGGTGCACGGCTACAGGGACATGATGGACAACAAATCAGGTAAGATTTATATATATACCGAATCGATGCGAATTATATAAAGTACGCTGGATTTAATTATGTTAGAAATTCTTGCTAGTATCAATATATTTATTTAATATCCATCAAACATAAAATGAAATTAAATAGTTAGTAAAATCATTTGACCTTTTCTTGTTAAACTTGGAATTTGGAGATTAAAATGGAAGACGTATTAGACGCGTGAATAGGGATCTTGATTTAATGCTAAAAATAATTGTACAAGGTTTTACGATAAATTAATTCACGGCTGACGAAAGCGGAGAAATGCGCGTCGGATAGTTTCGGTTTCGTAACGTCGTACGAATGAGGACACGAATCTACTACGCGCGATTCGAAGAACGAGGACCACGCCGTCGTCGCACATATACGCAGGTGGCGAAGCCGCGTATTTGTCGTGCATATTTTTTCAAAACGACTTCTTCCTTCCAGGCACCGCCTCGGGAGGTGCGCGCGTGTCAATAAAGTGTCGTAACGTCACTTCCATCCTGTTCCCAATTTCCCTTACGAGCCGAAGTTGAAATTTTCTCGAACGCGTCATTCTGGAATTTTGGAGACCCACGTTCCTATCGGCCAAAAGGAATTTAACGAAAAAAAAACTGTCAGTGTCAGCATTTCCCAAGGAATCGATTCACGGACATACAAAAGGTGTACACAAAGATAGCCTCGGTTCTTTGAGTATTCAAGATTTGCGTTTCCCCAATTAGTTTACAGAATAGATAGATATTCATATGTAGGTCTCGAATTTCGGGACTGATGCAAATATTCTAAATTACATACAGTAAATCATAAAATTATTTTAATTTACGCATTCATTCTTTCTGAATATGTTTGATACGTTTTACGGCATATCCGTAGATTTACTTAGTGTGTGGATATTAACAGGTATTCTTTAACACTTGAGGCGTAGAAGTCTTTGGTGCTCATTTATGAAGAGCTAACAGCGTTTACTTCTAAAAATCGACAGAAGGCCGCGGCAACTTCACAGACACGGTGTGAGCGACACGAGAACTTAGTAGGAGCGAGTGGTTATTAAAGGGGCGACTGAGTCTCCTCGGGTCTCTTTCACGTTCCCGTGCTACACGCTAGCGTGGATTATCGATTTAATACCTGGCAAGCCAGTAGGCCGTGTTTTCCGCTAATCGTGTCCCCGTGTAGACCAAGAGGCGCCCCTCGCCTGATTACACCTAACGTTGTTGCTGCGCCGCTGGAATCCATTCTTGCATTCACATACGATGATGCTCATTCGGCTAAACTAAACGTTCTCGCCTGCTGTGCCGTGCTTCGTCCCGCCCCGGTTATAATAAGATCACGACGCGATTTTAGTGTGCGCACGATCCGTTTAACTCATTTCCATCGTGTCAATGAATGATATCTTATTATTTAATACATTTTATATAGATGGTAAATGATGAGAAAGGAGAAGAGAATTTAGTACGTTTATCATTCGGGACCTTCAGATTTAAGAGCGTCTAATTGCAAGGTAAACCATGAGAATTGTTTGGTAAACGTTGAAAGAATCACCAGAACCATGAGTTCATACCCCTGAACCTGGTATCTGATAATCGATCGTCTTCTTATCCAAACATCTCTTGTCTCGTTCGCTAAATACTGAGATTACAGAAAAAGAAAATGAACAACCGAGGTATCGAGAAGTAGGCTGTGTCCAGCGAGTCATGCGAGTGCGAAAGTAATTTAGTGGAAGTTGCGGCTCGAACGAACGAACTCTGCGCTTCTACTTGCACAGGGGGTTGGTTGAATAAAAAAAAAAAGAGCGTGGAGAAATTCATCCAAGCTGACGGCCATCGTAGACTCTCCCCCTTTTCCTGAATTTTCCACGCTTGGGAATCGTTCCTTTCGTTTCGTTGCTTTCCTATGCCTCGTCGCCGCACTCGAAACTCTAAACGAATCGCCGAGTTTATTGTCGCAACTCGTCGACCGTGTACACTACGCGTCATTGTTAAAATGCATTCTTTGAAATTTATTCCTCCGAGGACAAGAAGCACGAAAAAACTTTTTTGTGACGAGCCAATTAAAGAAATAGGAGTTTTCAATTTATTTACTTTACAGAGTGGATCATATTTTAATGATACAAAAGAATAGCCAACTGTTTTGTATGCAATAGCTGTCTATTTTGACCTGTATTCCACGGAAATATTAAGATGGATATAATAGATTAATCAAATGTTCACATCCGCCAACTGGTGGATATTATTAAGTACAATGCTCTCTGCAATTATGTATTGAACGATACCAATTTTCATAATAGTCAGTCGGCAAATCGTTGACCTGTTTAATTTAAATGTTTTTTTAAGTCTATGAATATTCAGAAATTCAGGTGTGCAAATACAATATTAGCATGAACTTTGGTACGACTTTTAGTGTTGGGTAAATAGAAATTAATGCTGATGCATTGAATAGAAGTATTGTTGGCTAATAATGTTGTTCCTCATTATTTCATTTACTGAAGTTGTAATGGATATTGAAAATTATCAGTGATTTGTCGATCAGGCTATAGACCGCATTCTCTACAGATTTTTTATTAAATTTTTATTGTTATATAAAAATCTGCAGTCTACAAATCATATTATTAAAGTATGACTTTTATACAAAAAAAAGTATACAAAAAATTCCTGTTTGGGTTACATTTTCTAGAAATATTTGATTTCGTAAAATCTGCATTATAAATCGGACTGTTCATCGATGAATTGATGAACCGGTGAACTGTTGACACCGTGACAGGTGCATCTAATACATATCTAGATTGCATAATTCTGCGGGCAACTTCTAAATCATGCGGCGCGATTGCTCCACATTTCGACGCGCATATAATAACCACCGTGTCGCGTCGGTTATGAAATCCGCACGTCGTCGTGTGTTCACGTTCGCCTTTTGCGAAAAGGGAATGCCACCTTGCTCTCCATTTCCATTGTTACGTAATCGTTTCGCGTACCGTGACCGCGGATATGTCTCTTGTTCTTAGGAAATTACATGCCGCCGATGTCCAACTATCCGTAAAGGAAATGAGCCAAACACGGCTCGTGTGAATATGTTTGACCCATTCCCACTTTCATCGCGACTATCATAACACAAGCTGATAATTATTCTTCAACATTTATTTATAACATTACTAAATCATAAATCAGTCAAGACATCTTCGATGAAATTGATATGACGAAATTTTATTTTGCTTCAATATTACGGAAGTTTCGATAAATATTACCGGAAGCAAGAGAATATTTGATTTTTATTAATTAAATCTGAATACGCAAACATGTTTTCACCGTGACTCGTCAAATAACACCTCCTCATTATTTAGGCAATCATTGCGTAATTGCAGAATTGAAAACAGGTTTATTCACACATTTCGTATGAATGATATCGTACACTTTTGAAGCAATGTATATTTTTAAGTCAGCATTTTTTTTTTGATTGATTGTTATCCATCAAGAAATTTGACGAAAGAATTAAACGTTCCATCGATCGATATATCGTAGTAAATCATATAATAAATCATGAATGGTTTCAGTAAAATTGTATGTGCAAAAGATTTGATCAATCAAAATCGTGTTATAAACTAGAGTCTGATTACATGTATGGCTGAAGTATGAGAAACGTTTCTTTAATCGATCATCCTAATAAGGGTACTAAACGTGGAAAAAGTACACATGGCCATAAAATTGTTGTCAAACAAGGCAATCTACGTACGTACCAAGTGTATAAGTACGACAATCGCGAAGTTTCCTGTGTTAGGAAAAGTCGACAGAGTACGTAGGTATATCGATTAAAACTTATTTTCCTTGGTGTATGAAACGTTCGATTAACTCCTCTTTTATAAAACACTTTGGCGTCGCGTTACTGTTTGAACGGAACACGCGAGAGAGCACGCGCTAACCAGTTTCAATTTTCCCCGATACATACAAAACTGTTCAATCGGTTGTTAAAGTAAAGTATTGGATTATTATTCTCTTCTAAATATAATCGCCGGTGTTAAAGAGGTTAACGAACCGAGACCTTTAACTTCATTGTCTTTTAATCACAGGCAAATTGTAATCAATTTATCGTATCGCAATGACGTCTGTGCATGAAGAAAGGAAACGTGGGAACGACAAGATTAGACGATTGTTTGCTTTTTATCTTGCCGGTCGTTTGGTAATCAACAGCAAAAACCCGATAATTAAGGTGCTCCTTGAGTTAAACGAATTTTCTGATTAAAAATGGAAGGAGTCTCTTTTCTTATTTCGTGTCAGACAGGAAAATTCTATTGTTATCGAATTTATATAAGATTATTATCTATAAATCGCTTCGATAAAAATTTCGTATATTTAATTTTATTACACATTTTAGTAAAAATTTGTCGCTGGTAAATGCGGTAGGTTTGCCGTTATTACACAGCGCTTTAATTAGGGAACCGCGAACGAATTTAGAACGAGGGTGTAAAATTCGGGCAGATGATACGAGATCGCTCGCAGCGGAATCCTTCATTTGCTCAGCAGAGTTGGTTTCTAGCCGAGCACACGTACACGTCGCGAACGCCTCGCGTTTTAATATACCTTTTCAAATAGAGCTCGGAATCTCTCTCTCTTAATTTCAACAATCCGCAGAATCGCTGCTAACGATTCCTTCCATTCAGCGCGATATTAATTAGTCGGCAATCTCCTGGTTCGATCTCAATTTTAACACCTTAAACTTAAGCTATAGGTTGAATCAGTAAAATGTCTCGTTTAAAATTATCTAACAACTCGTTTTAGTACGAGGAAATATATCTTTTTTTTTTTTCTTAATTTGTCAAAAACCGAAGATACATTTTTAATGATATAAAAGAAATTTTGGAAAATAATTCATTGAATAAAAAAATTAATACATATTTTGTTATTGAGAGATGTACTGGTCTCATGAGTTCTATTGTGATTGCAGATCCTAGAGTGAACCATTGGATAATGATGAGCAGTCCTATGCCAACGATGGTTATATGCCTGTGTTACGCTTACTTCAGCAAGGTTCTGGGACCGAGGCTAATGGAGAACAAAAAGCCTTTCAACTTAAGAGGAATCCTTATAGCGTACAACTTGATACAGACACTATTTTCCTCATGGATCTTCTACGAGGTTGGTTTTCCTCTCTTATATGCGATCGATCATACTCTCGCTCGAAGGAACATTTACCTTTCATGATTATTTGTCCCATCATAATTTCAAACTCCAGTCAAACATTTGTGAAATTCATGCGTGTCAGTTTATCGTCCACAGTCGAAACTGTTGGAATCTAGTACTTCAAACAGATTTCCAGATTTAGTTTAACCGCATACATATTTTATCGGAAATTGTTTCAATTAAAAATTGTAGTAAATCTGTGTAACAAATCATGAATGGTTTCAATGAAATTATACTTGTCAAAATTCTTATAAAAACTGAAAGAAATAAATTGCAATAGAATTTCATGATTACGTTAGTTAAAATATTTTAATATTTCTTAAAGTATTAAAAAACATTCTTTTGGTTGTTCGAATATGTTGGAAGAGTCGTGTACACGCGTAGAAGGTACAAGTGTCCCCTGGTAGGACGAAACTTGTTCAAACTAATCCCATTCCGGCGTATCATCGATCCCGTCTAGAATAATTAATAGCCTGTATCGGCAGCGATATGGCACGGCCGCCTCCCTCTCGCCCCTTACTTCGTGAAAGTTAATGCCCGGTGGCTACGGTGGTGTTCGTGGCTCGCATAAACTCCCGCGTCAATGGAATTCATCGAGTCGATGAAAAACGCTCTCGTGATATTTTCATTTATCAGTTCTACCATTGCATCTCGCTCGAAAACTGTGAAACGGGCTCCCGGCTCAATTCGAACGAATTAAATCGTAACAACGACCCAGTAATAGAATAATACGCTTTTTCCCCGTTCGATTGTTTAGCAAATCGGCGAAAACAATGTTTCAGCAGTTCATAATAAGTCGTCGAACATTTACGTAACCGGTGTATAAATTAATTTATGAAACAGAAGTTCTCTTCTATGAGATCTGGTAATGAGCAATCTTTTTATTGGTGACACTTTTTTAAACAATTAACTGAGACTTATATTTATTAGATTCATAGTATTTAGTATTGGGGAATGTTTCGAATTAGCGGTTTATGGATATTCATGGGATATATGGGAAGGTGTTGGACGATACTCGAATCTAGGTCACTAGTAGAGCGACCTAATTGATCGGTCGTTCGGTCGAATTTAACTTTACGGGATAAATGTAGGAAGAACGATAAAAATAGGATCCTATAATCATAGGAATTCTGTTAATTATTTAACCATCGCGATATGCAGCTTTCGATATTTTGCACATTTTTATGCATACAGTACTTTTATTTTCTGTTGTCACTAATGGAAAAATCGTTGCCATGAATTTTGCAAATTCTGAAGATGATTTATAAAAATGCAATTTTTTTATCACATGAGATGAATTCGTTCGGGATCGAGTTCCCAGTTTTGTGAAAATAAAAAGGAAGCGCGTTTGCGTGACGATCGAGTTGTTCTCTGACGATGATAAAGAATGCGCGCGTGCTTATTTAATCGAATGCCGATCGTATTTGGTCTGCACTTAGTATGTCGCGTACATGCCCGTGTACAGTTATCTCATACGAGTCGTACTCACGTAGTACCGAATCGACTGATACTTTCTACTTACGAGGCGTTTTTTGTCGCTCCGATTATCATTCGCCTCGACCATCGCATCATTTCATACAGATATTAGTATTTTCAGTTCTCAAGTTTTTAGTGATTGTATACTTTTATTTTTTATCCCCATTTGGTTGAATGTACAGAGTGTTCTAATTAATCTTAACAAATATTTATCGTGTAGATAAGATGGAATGAAACAGGATTTTCATCTGAAACGAGAAGTAGGAATAGCTTGTAGTTCGGCGAAACATTCTGATGATCAGAGAGCAAACGACTGTGACTGAAAATCAGAATCTTCGCGTTGATTAGGTTTTCAATGCTCCTTTTTGTTTGAATCAGAGCCTATTTTTAACATGTCGAGATTCGCGTGGAAACTGTCTGAAACCAGAAGAGAGGCTCGGCGACACGATGAACGAGCCGCGTATTAGAGTCGATCGAAGAGTATGAAGTGGCATTGAGAGCCGTCTTCAAATATCGGGGGCCACGTCGTCGTATTTGATCGAGTAGGCGAGAGGATGCAAATCGTCCGACGAGACGAGAAAAACGTCGCCATCTCCATGGATCCGTTAAAATTCATTCGTACAAAATGTGACGTAGACGTAGATTTAAAAAAAAAAATACAGCATTGAAATCGAGAATCTTTAATGGTCGAATAGAAAGAAATACAAGAATTATTATTGGTCGACGATCGATTCGATGCCGCAACGTCGTTTCAAACAAATTACGATTAGGGACGCATCTAAAATGTAAATTACGAAATTGATTCGATGATAGCAGGTTCTAAAAAATGTATGCGTCTGAACATAGTGTAAAGCCTCTACTCTAGCCGGTTAGTATATCGTTACGTTCGACGAGAACGATTTGACATTTCGACGTCGGGAGGCGGGGTACAATGGACTACCGTAAATCGTCCCCTCATCGAGTCCGTACAATAACGAATCCACCGAACATATTCATGAACGATGCGCAGACGGCAGGCGACATTTCCGGCGTCGATGTAAACCGAGTCTAATAGAATTCAAATGAAATTTGCAAACGATATTCCTCCGATCAATATTTCTTGCTTACCTAAAAAATCTCCTGTCGCAGCTATATGATATCTAAATGTGTTTTTATGAAACTATTAAAGTGTATTACAAAATCGCACTTGACATAAAGAAAATGCAATTAAGTATTTAGATTTTGTTTTAATTGAGTAGTCGAGGCGAGCACGGAGTTTTTATTGCGACGAGCTATGCAGTCTGCGATAAAACCTTCTAGAATGAATCAGAATCTTGGAAATGTCAGTTCATTGCATGTAAACCGGCTTGACATTGAGATAATGTCTGAAGAAATTATAGAAGAAGTTATTTACAACGCAGAATCTCTCCTACGTCAATAAATAATTGCGCGATATGGAAATGAACTTGGGAACTGAAAAATAGTAGCATTGGATACGAGATTAATGATACTCAGCGTTTCATTCAGCGGATTCGTCGTTAATCATCTATAGTGGAATTCTTCCGGGGCTGGGATTACTTTTAAAGTCTATCAGCCCTCGCAGTCAGTATAGCGCTATTAGTAATTAGGACGTCACTAAAGTTCGAGTCGTTAGGTTTTATCATTCGAGGGAGATCTCGGAGGTTGGTAATATACAATTTTGGGTGACACGGCAGAACGAAATCCCATTAACTAATCATAGTGCCATTATCTAGGCTTTTCATTTTCTTTCATTTCTTCGTTAAGTGCTATACAAGCTTAACCTGGGAAGCAATAGAAAATTTATTACCCATTTCGTTGGGTTGGGTAGACGCTCGTAGTCAATTTCGAAAGACGGGATGTAACTGTATCTGCAATTTAAAGCGAGTCTAGACTTCTCAAGTCCGCGACTTCCTCCAACTATCTACGAACGAATGGTATACTTTTCCGGGCCGACATTTTGCCCGGGTATTGCAGTGAACGTAATTAGGGTTACCGAGGAAACTTCAGTACGGCGCCGTTGCGTCACAGCCGAGTTACACACGATACCGGAGTGTGTCCTGTCGAGACTCCTGAGTTACTGCAAACCAACTGCAATGCCGGTGAAACGCTTGAGGACACCGGGAGTAGTTTTACGACCCCAAAGACCCTTCGAAATCCCGGCTTCCTGCATCGGATGACAAATTGAAGAAGTCCGGTTGAGTAACGACTTCTCGATACCTATAGTGACGCGCTTGAGTTATAAGAAAATTGTTGATCTAATCTAAATTACAGCGGCCCAACATTTAAACTTGTGACATCGAGGAGAGATTATTAAAGAATGACAGCCTCATAGGACTTGTTCATTGCAAAAAAAAATTTTCATCTTAACGAATGATAATAAACAGAAACAGAGGGATTAGACGAGGAAGATCTAAGCTTAACCCCTTCATCTACGATTTAGATTCGAAAATTTCGGGCCGAAATCGTATACAAGTCAGCGCAGGCTTCGAGACATTCGCACGACTTGTTCCGTACGATGATCGAGCCAATCGTAAATATTGTGGGTATCACTCGTGGTACGACGGTCGGGCTATGCCCGTAATATTCACGTTTGGCCTGATCATCTACTACGGACTTGCCCGTGATATCTAGCACTTGTTTCACGATCGAAACAACCGAATAACGGGGCAAAGCATGCGGTTTGGAAAATTGTACGAAAAATTGGCCTGACGTGCGTTCAGTGTGTTAACGCGCGCCCTTGACACAGAGGATCTCGTTACCGTACGACCCACGCTCTTCCAATCGAGCTTTTCTAACTCCAGTTTAACACGGTCAAGTTTAATGGAATGCCCACCGCGTCGATGATACCAATCGAATCGCACGAGTCGGATGTCGTGCGTCACGCGATGATAAAACCCGATTCTCGATCAAACTCGCTAGCACAGTAAAAAAGATCACCGGAAGGGCATTAAGGATGTATAGGCTATATACTTAAACAATGATGAATTTGTTATTATAGATTCTTATTAC